CTGAAACAGGATCCAGGCTCTGAGCTGGCAGTCAGCACAGAGCCCGACGCGGGGCTCGAACCCACGAACCGCGAGATCATGACCTAAGCGAAAGTCGGACGCTTAACGACTAAGCCACCCAGGCGCCCCCAATCAATAATACTTTTAATATCAAAACTCTTAACTCTACTTATCCTTATTAGGATCTATTTTAATATAGATGTAAAAATATACAACTTTTGGAGATTTTGATTCCCAGACTTATCTGTTAAAGTGATGATACAAATATAAATGGTATGGAGTGCTTAATATTTTAAATTTTTTCCTATGTAACTAATTCTACAAAGGTAGCCAACTTGAAAATTAAGTGTTTCCAGAGTGCCTGGGTGCCTCAGTTTGGGGTGTCAGACTCTTGATTTCAGCTCCATTCATGATAATCATGGTTCATGAGTTCCAGCCCCATGGCAGGCTCTGCACTGACAGTTTAGGATTCCCTCTCTCCCTCCCCCTCCCCTGCTGCTGCTTTCTCTTTCTCTTAAAATAAAAAACTTTAAAAAATATATTAAAAAATTAAGTGTTTGTTCTTCCAGCTTTTATTAATGAATCAGATTATATATCAGTTTCTACTGCTTGTCATTTGATATCTTGATCACATCTTTATATAAATCTCTCAATCTCACTCTTTAATAGCTACTTAGTATACCATTGTGTGGATGTATCATTGTAGCTAACCCTCTCCTGTTGATAGAAATCTAGGCTTCTGAGTGTGTGAATATTAGACAATACTTTGATAAACATCCATAACCTATTGTGTACATCTGTAAATATTTCTGTAGAAGATGTTCCTAAACTGGAACTCCCAGATCAAAGCCCATACAGAATCTGAACTTTGCAGCTATATTGGTCCTCGCAAAGGCTATAGGAGGTGATCTCCCCAATGATATTATACTATAGGTGTTTGAGTTGACTGTCGTGCGATCAACACGGATTCTTCCAAATACTTGCCAACTTGATTTAAAAAAATTGCCCTGGCTTAATATTTGGTGTGGATTCATCCTACAAGTGAGTTTGAACACTGTAATTGCTTTTAGCCTGATTATTTCTTGCAAAATGACCATTTGTTTCCCCCCACCCTTTCATTTTGAGCACTTGCTCTCTTTTTTACTGACTCGTAAGGCCACATTATGTGTAGAAAAATGACTCCTTGGGGGTGCCTGGGTGGCCCAGTTGGTTAAGCATCCACCTGTGGCTCAGGTCATGATCTCGCAAACCGTGAGATCAAGCCCCATGTCAGGCTCTGTGCTGACATCTCAGAGCCTGAAGCCTGCTTCAGATTTTGTGTTTCTCTCTCTTCCCCTCCTTCTCCCCCCCCTCTTTTTCCCTCTCTTCTTCCCTCTCTTCCTCCCTCCCCCATCTCTCTCTCTCCTTCAAAAATATAAACATTAAAAAAAAAAAAAGACCTCTTGATCTGTCCCATTGATGGCAAGTACTCTCCCTCCTGTAGGTTTTCTCATGAATCTATATGTCTTGAATTTGTATTTTGCTTTCTAGCCTCTGAATGGCAAGACTCCTTCCCCACTTGGCTGGATAGGGGTGGACAGGAAGTGTAGGTCTGCAGTAGCTGCCACCTGAGTTTAGATCTGCATGTTCACCAGCTCTTGTTGCAAGGAAGAGAGCAAAGGGCAGGGGAGATGGATCGCCTTGTTCTGAGGGAGGAGGCCCTGCTCAAGTCCCACCGTTGGCCCATAAGATGGGTTTCTTAAAGGTTCAGCAATTGAGCCTTGGGGCTTAATCAGTCCAGGACAACAGTTCTTGTCTGGAGATGAGGTGAAGCTCTGCACAGCTGAGTATTTGAGGAAAGCCAGTCTTGAGAGATCTTTGATTATCTGGATAGAAAGGACCCTGCCTCCACAAGATGACCTTTCCCTTCTGATGGGTAAAATAAAAATGCTTTTCCATTCTTTACTGCTTATTTGGAACTCCTACACAAGGGGACTGAGGTTCAAGGAATTGAGTATCCACAAAGCATCACAGCCCTAAGTATTCTAAATCTTAAAGAAAATGTGAAAGTGGGTCTTTGGTATTCCCACTCTGCATTCTTTCCACCAGGAACTTGTGCGTGTGTGCATGTAGTAAACAGAATCCTCCTCCACTGAGCTAACTAAACCACAAATGTAGAATGCATGTACAACTTTATTTTCCTTAGCATCCCCCACCCCCATGTTAGAAATCATTAGTGATGCTACTGGTTTTACTCTCCAGATATACCCTGGATCCATTCACTTGACCTGATTTGATATTTTTGGTTTAATTTTGTGTGTGTGTGGGGGGGAGTGGGTCTGGTTTTTTTGGTTTGGGTTTTTTATTTTTTGGTTTGAGTTTTTTTAATAATGTTTATTTTTGAGAGAGAGACCTGGAGCGTGAGCGGGGAGGAGCAGAGAGAGGGAGACAGAATCTGAAGTAGGGTCTAGGCTTTGAACTGTCAGCACAGAGCCCAACTCAGGGCTCAAACTCACAAATCGTGAGATCATGACCTGAGCTGAAGTCAGTCACTTAACTGAGCCACCCAGGCACCCTCCATTCATTTTATACACTTCTGTTTGAGTTCTTCACAGGCCCTGTCAAGTGCTTCCACAAAAAAACCAGGGACCTGTTGTTGCTGTTATGCTATCAATGCATATGTTAGACCAAACCTACCCATCTTCACTTAGATGATGGAAGCAGTTTCATACGTGGGCTTCCTGCACCATAATCCCCTCTCCAAGCAACAGTGACCTTTAAGACATGTAGATGATGACTTCTTGGCCTTTAGAACAAAGATACTCCTGACCAGCCCTTCCCCAGAGTTTAGTTTACCTATTGGACATCTTGCTCACTGTGCTCTAGAATGTCCTTTCTGTCTGCGGGCACTTGCACTAGCTCTTCACTCTGCCTGGAAGCTTCTCCTTCTACATCTTGGACTGGTGTCTTCTCATGATTATGGTATTAACTCTCCTTCAGAAGCCTCTTAAGATCCCTTTCCCCTTTCAGAGGACATTCTCCGTCTCTGTTGTGTCCTCTTGCGTTTTTTGTCTATATCCTTAAACTATTTACTTCTACCTTGGCTACTTTCTACCACCACACACCCATCCTCCAAAAGTTAGACCCTCAAAAACAGAACTTGTCTTGTTCAAGGCTTTATATAAGGACTTAGTATTCTTGAGGATGAAACTTTTTCTGACCCTTACTGTGTTCTGTTTTGCCCGACTCCTCTGTTCTTAGACCACAGAAGAAGATACAGAGAGAGAATGAAGGCTAAAATATTGATGATGTGGGACAACATCCCTTGGCCTGAAGACCATATTTATCTCCGCAACGTGACTGAAAAGGAACATGAGGAACTGAAGAGCCTCCTGTATCCTAACAGGACTGGAGCCCAGCCACAGACCATCGTCTTGGAGGGCCTAGCAGGGGTCGGGAAGACCACCTTGGCAATGAAGGCTGTGCTGCATTGGGCAGAGGGCTTTCTCTTTCAACAGAGATTCTCCTATGTTTTCTTTATCAGCTGCCATAAAGTTAAAGAGATGAAGGATACCACATTAGCTGGCCTGCTTTCCTGGGACTGGCCTGACTCCCAGGCCCCCATTGAAGAGGTCAAGAGTTGCTCTGAGAGGCTCCTGTTTGTCATTGATGGCTTTGAAGAAATGGACATGCCCTCCAATTTGGATGACAGCCCACCATGTGAAGACTGGTACCAAGAACTCCCAGTCAACAGAATTCTGTTCTACTTGTTGAAGAAAGAGTTGGTTCCCCTGGCTACCTTACTGATCACGACCAAGGAGTATAGAACCAACGATCTTAAAAACTTGTTACTGAATCCATGGTTTGTACAGATCTTAGGGTTCACAGAGGGAGACCGGGAGGAGTATTTCATCAGGTACTTTGGTGACCAAAACAAAGCTAAGAAAATCTTGCATTGGGTAAGAAAAAACGAAACTCTCTTTCACTTCTGCTCTGCCCCCATGGTGTGCTGGACCGTGTGTTCCTGTCTGAAGCAGCAAATGGCGAGAAATCCTCACTTCCAGCTAAGCACCCAGACCACCACCAGTCTGTATGTCTACTTTTTCTCTAGTTTGTTCGCCACAGTGGAGGTGAGTTTGTCGGACCAGAGCTGGCCAGATCAGTGGAGAGCCCTCTGCTTTCTGGCTGCAGAGGGAATGTGGTTTTGGAAGTTCACGTTTGCAAAGAAGGACCTCAAACACAGGCATCTGGAAGAAACTGTCATTGGTTCTCTCCTCAGGTTGAATATTCTTCGAAAGGTCAGTGACTGTGAGGATTGTGTTACTTTCACTCACCAGAGTTTCCAGGTGTTTTTGGGGGCCATGTTCTATGTGCTGAGGGGAATGAGAGGATCTGTTGGTGGTCCTCCAAAGCACCAAGAGATGAAGGTGCTTCTGAACGATGCCTTGGCTGACACAAACTTCTACTGGAATCAGATGGCTCTGTTTTTCTTTGGCCTTTTAAAAAGAAACCTAGCAGAAGAACTGGAAGATACTTTGCATTGTAAAGTGAACCCTCGGATAATGGATGAATTACTGGAATGGGCAGAAGAATTAGAAAGCTATGACCTCATCTCCAACTGTTTTGAATTTCTACACTTTTTTGAGTGCTTATATGAGACTCAGGAGGAAAATTTTGTAAGACAGATTTTGAGTCATCTCCTTGAAGCTGATCTTGATATTTTTGGGAATCTACAACTCCAGGTTTCTTCGTTTTGCCTAAAGCACTGTCAAAGTTTAAATAAGCTAAGGCTTTCTGTCAACGGTACCATCCCTCAGATGGAATTGACTTTCAACTTGGAAACTCTGGAGTGAGTAATGCAATGCTGTTTCCTTCCCAGATTTCTTCTCCCCAGGCTCTGTCCAAGTTCTTCTATGAAAAATTGGGGATATGTTGTTGTATTATCAGTTGTTGTGATTGACCAAACATTCTAAAGGCGATAACAAATTTGCTGTTAAGGTCAGTCCATGCTTCTCTACAGAACGGCTTCTTTTTGTCTTTCCTCAGTGGTTTTTAATTGTCTGTAGATCAGAATTAACTGGGATGTTAAACATATGAATACATGGGCATGTGTACGCACAAATACAAATACACTAAGGTTGGAAACAACTGCTCTAACCAATACTGTAATAATTCTGGGCACAGCGTGTAGTACTTTATATCCTTTAGGTGCTAGAATGTGTTCTTTGTTTTACTTCCTTCATCTAAGATAAAAAGTTTAATTCATGACTTGAATGCTCTTTTATTCGTATAAACATTGAGAGCTTACTAGAGCAAGAAAATACTAAATAATTAGAATTCTAATTATTCTAAGTTCTAAATATCACATGAATCTTTTTATTTTATTTTTTACAAATAGTTTATTGTCAAATTAGTTTCCACATAACACCCAGTGCTCATCCCCACGAGTGCCCTCCTCACATGAACCTTTTTAAAAGGTTTTTCTTTTTTTTTAAGTTTATTTATTTTTGAAAGAGTGCAAATGGGGAGGAGCAGAGAGAGTGGGAGAGACTGCATCCATCCTTAACAGGCTCCACACTGTCAGTGTAGAGCCTGATGCAGGACTCGAACTCACAAACTGTGAGATCATGATCTGAGCCGAAATTAAGAGTCAGATGTTTAATCAACTGAGCCACCCAGACACCCCGCCTTTTAATCCCAAAACCCTATGGGAATACATTTTGTTATCTACATTGAGGGATGGAAAATTGGAACACAAATCATATCTTAGGTGATACAGATCTGAATTTACCTTAGGTCCTTTTGACGTAAAGTCTGAGCTTGTAAGGATTATCCAATGGCCAGCTAACCTCACTTACATGGTTGCCTTCCTCTGAAGAGAATGGTTGAGGGTTGTTGGAATAAGCCATCTGGGACTTTGAGAACTATACTTCTGGGGTCATGTTTTTTCCTACCCAGAACTCCAATAAATTCCTGCGCTTGCCTAGGGTCTGTTTCCACCTCACATAGACCACACTCTGGGTGTTGGTTGAAGTTCACTTACTCTAGTAACCCTTATTTCCCTCCCTCATTAAGGATGAGGCCACATTCCAAGATAGGCCAGTGGCAGGATGTTTGCTCCGTGTTTTCCAATGGAAATCTCTGTGAACTGGACCTGAGTAACAGCAAGCTTAACGCTTTTGCAATGAAGAAACTCTGTTATGAGCTGAGAAATCCAAGGTGCAAACTCCAAAAATTGACGTAAGTGTGAGACCCTCACGGTTTGAAAAATTCCAGTGGAAGATAATCCAATGTTTTCCTTTGGACTGTTGCAGTGAAGGTCTGTTTCCCAGAAAGTAAGTTCAGGTGCTCAGGATAATAAAATAAATGTGCTTTATGAGTGAAATGGCTACTTGGGTAAAAACCCAGCACCTTGTTGTGCATGGTCTTGCATGAGAAATGCATTACAAACTAGCTTCCCCATAAGACCTCTGCATGAGGCTGCTGTTTTGAGCTGGATATGAAGCAGTAGAAGACTTGTAGGATATGATCAAGACAAAGCACTTGAGGAGAACCAGAGTTCCTATGGAGGCTAGGTGAAGTGCTGTGTCTTAAGGAAATGTGGGTAGTTGGCATTTGTTCATTGAGTGAATGCTTATTGGGCATCCCTCCTCTGTTCTGAGGCTGTAGCAGTGAGCAGACCAGATCATTCCTGCCTTCGTGGAGCTCACAGTGTTGGAGAAACCAACATAAATGACCAGAGTAGTGTATGAGACTGTGACCTCTCCCAAAGCGGGAGGAAATCCATTCAGGGACTCAGGGTGTGAAAGAGGAGGCTTTGTATTTTTAGATAGGAGAAGCCCTTCTTCTATCTAAAAAGATACTTGAGTCAAGACCTACTTGTTGGGGCTGGAGTATTGCTTTGGACTGAAGCTTCTCCCACATGATGTAAGAAGAGATCACAGCATCTCCAATCTGGCTTGGAAGTTGGGACCAATGGAGGTGGCCCTTGAAAGAGGAGCCAGGGAAGAGCTACCTGACCAAGGACAGAGTGTGTGGCTCTTGGAGAAGAAGGCATTGGGTTGGATGCTCTGGAGTTCAGTCCAAATAGTTCGGTCCTGCTGTGCTTCTGCAATTCAGCGCTACCTCAGGGTCTGAAAATCAGACGTATGTGCTGAGTCCGTGAGTTCAGAGGTGAGGATTTGGCATTAATGACTCTTCTCAAACCTGAGGGAACTGGATCTAACACGTAGGAGGCAGCTTAAAACATCCTGTTTGAGGATCTGCTTTTTCACTCTTCCCCCTTTCCGTCTTATCACTTAGTCCTAAAGACCGAAGAGAAATAAATTTAAGAGAAAACAAGAGGACAGAGGTGTTCTCACTAAACCTTATTGGGTTGGTGTGGGGGCCACCCCACCCCCACCCCCAAGAAGAGTAGGGAGCTCCAGGGTCTCTTAATGGCAGACATAGCGGGGGAGGGGATCGATTTCTAATCTAATACACCCAGCTGAGCTTCAGTTTTTTAATTCCTCGTCTATAAGTATGTGCTTGAGTGTGTGTGTGTGTGTGCGCGCGCGTGTGTGCACGTGCGAGCTCGGTAAAAAGGCAAGAATATGAGGAAGCACTCCCGTCCATGAGGCCAGTCTCCTCACCCCCCTCTCTTCCTCAGGTGCAAATCAGTAACTCCTGTGAGGATTCTGAAGGAACTTGTCCTTGCCCTGTATGGTAACCACAGGCTGACACACCTGAACTTGAGCTCGAACAACCTGGTAATTCCCGTGTCCACGATGATCTTTAAAACCTTGAGGCACTCAGCCTGCAACCTCCAGTATCTGTGGTAAGTCTCTGGTTTCCCAAGCCTGTCCCCAAGGTCACCCCACAGTTCAGGGATACATTGGGAGCACAGGATTCTGCAAAAGGCTGCAGAGAAAGCTGAGCAAAGGGAATGAGCATGTGGGTATAGAGCAGTGCTTTGCAAAATTCTTGTCTACCAGAGCCACCTGAGGGGGCGTGTTAAAAGGCAGGGTCCTGGCACCCACCCCCCTCAGATCCAGCAGGGCTTCTTGGCAGGGAGTGGCTGGCAGTATTTCTAACAGGCTCTGAGGTGGCGTGGGAGCTTGGACCACACTCGGAGTAGCACTGGCCATCCTGCCAGGGGAAAGGGTGAGGAACAAGGAGAAATCAGCTTTTACTTGTGGAGTAAGGGGGCCTCCAAATGAGGATCCTTCTTCCTGGGAGTAACTGCCTGTCTTGGGGCCTCTCTGGTAGGTTGGAATCATGTGGCCTCACCCCGCTAGTCTGTCGTCATCTCTTCCTGGAGCTCTGCAAGAACTCGAGTGTGCGCTTCCTCAGCCTGGGGGACAATGATCTCTCTGGTGTTGAGGTGAAAAGTCTGCCAGGGCCCTCGGAGATGCCCGAGTCTTCCCTGAAGGAGCTGTCGTAAGCCTTCCTGCCTTGTCAAAATACCATCTTTGGGGAGTCGTGGGGACCCCTCCCATTGTAGTTACCCATCCCACGGACACATTTCCCATCTTCACTCTTTCCACCTTCTTCCTTAAGGCTCTGTCTTGGCCAGCTTTGTCCTCACCTTGATTGTGGGTGTCTCTCCTGCCAGCCTTCCCTAAACCCAGTGGTTTTAACTGGGGGTGATCTTGTCCTCCAGGGGACAATGTCTGGACACTGACTTGGTTCTCACAATTGGGAGGGGGAAATGCTATTGGCATCTAGTGGGTGAAGACTAGGTGTGATCACTATCCTTCAACCCACTGGAGAGAACCCCTTCCCCTCCCCGCCCCAGCACCACAAAGAATGTTCTTGCCCAAAGGTCAGTAGGGTTGAGAATGAGAAACCTTACCTTGACCCACTTTTTTCTCTTTGAAGTTTTTGTTTATCCAGTTTAATCTTTCCATGATGTTTGGGTCCCAGATGAGTGGCCTAAGGGACTGAGAGTTTGAGAAAGAAAAAGTAGGCATGGCCTAGGCTGACCCTTTTACCTGTATCTTCTGCAGCCTGGAGAAATGCAACTTGTCAGCTGCCAGCTGTCAGGATCTCACTTTGCACCTCACCAGGACCCAGAGAACAACTCGACTGTGCCTGGGATTTAATCCTCTCAGAGACGATGGCGTGAGGCTCCTGTGTGCTTCCCTGACTCACCCCGAGTGTGCTTTAGAGAGATTGGTGTGAGTGTCCCCTGGCTCTGTTTCTAGAAATGACTCTGCTTGGGGGTGGGCATGGAGGAAAACAACGGCTCCTCCATTCGGGACCTATTTACATAATTGAACACTAAAACACGTTGAGCAAGTACTCTATGTGCTTGGCCCCGTTCTAAACACAGATTCTGAGTAGCACCCCCAATTTGTTGACTCGGTCTCTGGGGGTTGTGCCAAGGAATTTAATTTTAACAAGGATACCAGGAAATTATGACTGAAGCAACTGATATCTGAGCTCCATTCTCCAGACACAGAACTGGACACCAAGGTTGAGGTGGTAGATAAGACAGACAAGCTTCGTGCCTGTGAGGAGGGTGTAGACTGATGAGTGAGATACCAAAACACAAAACCAGTAGTTCAGCGAGGAAGACAAAGTGGCATGAGTAGACAAGGAGTGGTGCGTTGGTTTCTTGGTCATGTCTCCCACCCGGAGGAGGTGACACTGAAGCAGAGAATGGAGAAACCACACACAGAAAAGGAAGAAAGGGAAAGGACCTGAGGCTGGAGTGCTTTATGAATAGCCAGAGGACTACAAAGGCTGGAGTAGCGTGAGCGAGGGGGATAATGGGTGATGCCTGAAATATGCCCTGGCCGTGTAGGAATCTATTTTGTTTGGAGCATAGTGGAAAGTCTTCTGAGGACTGGAAGTTAGACACGCACAGACTCTGAAAGATCACTCAGGCTGCTGCTAAAGGGTAGACTAAAATGGAAGCAAAATCAGGAGAAGCAAGTGCCTGTTGATGAAGCAAGAAGATGAGCACGAATCGGCCAGGTGAGGTGGTGGCACTTCAGGGTAGACTTGAAGGTAGAGCCACTGATGGGTCCATGGTGGTTTAGGGGGGAAAAGAAAACAGAAAGGCCTCCCGGTGGCGGGTTTGTCAGCTGGGTCAAAGGTGCTGCCATTTTCTGACATGGGGAAGACGAGAAGATGAGGTTTAGGGGTTAGGATTGGGACATGGGAACATGAGACGCCTATTAATGAACCACGTAGAGCTGTTGTATGTATGTAGGACTGTAGGTCTCAAGGAGGTTTTTGGGTGGAGATGAGTCCACTGGCAGTGGTAGGTGCCAAGTGTGATTTCATTCTGCTGCCCTGGGTCAGGTGTGGAAGAGACAGAGAGATGGGTTTTCCTGCAACTGGATATTGTTCAGGTGAGCGTGAAAGGATAGAAAGGCCAAGGGTCTTGAGGCACAACCAAGGGGGTGTGTAGTAAAAGACCATAGAATCTGAGTGGCACTAAAGGGTTAGCACTCTCAGCATAGAGCTTCAAAGAACCAGAATATTAGTAGGTAATTCATACACATGTAATATGAACTAATATGACATATGACAGAGGTTACATTATATTTATGCCACTTATAATTGTAGCTATATAAGATACTCAAATATATATTAATATATAATATATGAAATAGATAAAAATCTTACATAACTACAAATTATATGTGATATGTTACATGATAACATATGTATACAACTTTTTTCTTATATAACACATACATATCTAATATATGCTACATATCTCAAGCATGTATACTATATCTAATGCATATATAATCTGTTATGTGTCTCTATAACTATATATTAGTGTAAAATATACAATTCATATGTATGTTACACAGAAACATTATCATATGTACACCATGTATAAATGTGTTATATAATACCTATACATCTAATATATACAAACTCTATAAAATATACTCTGCATACATAACACATATATATATTCTATATCTCCTACAAGTTGTATTGCACACAACATATCATGGCTCTTTGGCTTGTCAATGCTGTAACAGAACATCATAATTTCCCCCTTAGTGAGAAATGAGGGCTGGAGGGAATAATGCAAGGTGCCTGACACCACTTACTAATGGCTGAGCGGCCTGTTAACCCATATCTCACTGGCCCCAGAGCCTTGGATTCATTCCCAGCTCCCTCAAGCTCATTTATTTATTTATTATCTTTTTAAATAGTTTATTGTCAAGTTGGTTTCCAGATAACACCCAGTGCTCATCCCAACAAGTGCCCTCCTCCATGCCCATCGTCCCCCTTCCCCTCCCCCCCACCCATGTGCCCTCAGTTTGTTCTTGGCATTCAAGAGTCTGTCATGGTTTGCCTCCCACCCTCTCCCCCACTATTTTTCCCTTTCTTCTCCCCCATGGTTCTCCGTTGTGTTCCTCCTAATCCTCTTCCCTCAAGCTCATTTAAAGTGTTTTCCCTTCTACTTATTTTTTAGTTTCACTTAAACTTAAAAAAATTCTCACATTAAACTTCTTTGACCTGTGGGGGTAAAAAAGTCATACATACTTAATATATACAAGTTGATGAGTTAGGAGAGAAGGATGCACCTATGAGACGAACACCACTGTTAAGGCTGTAAACCTATCCATCTCCTTCTGAAGTGTTCTCCCATACCCTTTTTATTTTTTTATGGTTAACACTCAACATAGAAAATGTAAGTACACAGAAAAATGTAAATCTTGGAAAACTTGACACAATACTGTATTGTTAGCTATATGCGCAACTCTATGTGGTACATCTTCAGAACTTACTCCCTTTGCGTTACTCAAACTTGGTATGCTTTGAGCATCCCTTTATTATTACTTTTTGAAACCAAACACAAAGGACCAGAATGTTCACGGTGGGCTCATTACAGAAGTCTGGGGAAGGATATGTTAGCACAGATACTCCGCATATCCTGGATGCGGGTTCAGGGGGACACCATGGTTAAACCCAAGTCAAGGTGGGGCTTGAGGCTTGTGTCTCCAGTGGTCTTGGTTTGGGTTGCTTTCCTGAGCATCTCTCTTTATGGCTCTTGCCCCACAGGCTCTGGTTCTGCCAGCTCGGTGCACCCAGTTGCAGGTACTTGTCAGATGCTCTCCTTGAGAACAAGAGTTTGACCCATCTGAACCTGAGGAGGAATAACCTGAGAGATGAGGGAGTAAAGTTTCTGTGTAAGGCCTTGAGTCATCCAGACTGCAGCCTCCAGAACCTGGAGTAGGTTTGCCTCCCCGCCCTTCAAAGGATGAGAAGAGAGCATGTGAATTGACCTACAGATGCCCGGGTTCCAGATGGGGGTGGAGTCCTGGGTGTAGACATGATTGTTGCTCACACAGAGAAGCTTTGGGTTCTATTGGAGGGGTGCATGAGGGTGGGTTACTGGGATGATAAGGACCAACCACAATGTGTGCTGGGGGTCCCAAGGCCAGCCCATGAGCCTGATGACTCACAGAGAACTCAACTTTGCATGCAGCCAATTAGTGGCTGTGGTTTATTACAATGAAGGGAGAAAAAGCAAAATCAGCAAAGGTGCATTAGGTGAGATCCAGAGGAAACCAGGGGCAAGCTCCCTATAGATGGCATGGGGAGTGGGCTATGCTATTGTCCTGTCTACTTCATTTCTACCAGGGGTAGATAGAGTGCCTAGGGTGTCTCAGACCTACTGATCAGCACCCTTTTCTTCCCAGTGCTGTGGATGAGAAGTCTGACTTTGGCATCTCTCCTTTCCTTGGAAGACCATGAGATGGGCTCAGGTATATAGAACAAGGTCTAAAGATTCCAGGATTATTCTCTTTCCCTTTCTGTTTGTTTTGCAGTTTGTCAGATTGTTCTTTCACAGCGGAGGGTTGCCAGGAGCTTGCTAATGCCCTCCAGCACAATCCTAACGTGAAAATTTTGGATATTGGGAGCAATGATATTCAGGATGATGGCGTGAAACACCTGTGTGAGGTCCTAAAACATCCGAATAGTGCATTGAACACACTTGGGTGAGTTGACACTGTTCTCTTCCTGGGAAGGCCCCATCTCTACTCTTGGGATGAGGAAGGAATAGATGTGGTCACCTGGGGGTTCAGGAAGGCGAGGAGCAAAGGATTAAATTCTCTTGTTAAAAATCTCTTCTGGGGGCGCCTGGGTGGCTCAGTCAGTTAAGCATCCGACTTCAGGTCAGGTCATGATCTCACAGTTTGTGGGTTCAAGCCCCACATCAGGCTCTGTGCTGATGGCTCAGCCTGTTTCAGATTCTGTGTCTCCCTCTCTCTGCCCCTTCCCCACTCATTCGCTGTCTCTCAAAACTGAATAAATGCTAAAATTTTTTTTAAAAAAAAATCTCTTCTGCTCAACGATAAGCCTCAAGTTCAGAGACAGAAGTTCATTCCACTTACCCCCTCCTTGGCATATTGTAAATACTCTTTTCAATTGGTACCTTTTAGATACTAGGTTGGGGGTGGGGGCAGGTACAGCATGTTTCATGGCCGGAGGGTCTTTTCTATCTAAGAGGAAAGTAATGTGTGTGTTTAGAAAACTAAGATGGTTTAGACTCCACGAATAGGTGTTTTGGTTAAGTGTGGCTTACGTGATAGCTATTTTTCACATAGGCAGTGATTCTACTTACTCTCAAAAATGTTAAGAGATTCTACAAGTATTTCTTTCTCTGTGGAAATCCTTCCATGTGTATTTAATGGATGGACCTTGAGGGCATTATGCCCATAAGTAAGTCACAAGTCACTGCTTTTCACTACATCCTTCTCCTTCAAGAAGTATCTTGAGGTGGACTACTCTTTATCCTGCAGGTAAAGGAGAAGCCCTCAGATTTACACAAGTGATTCAAGGTCTTCTCTGTACCTTAAAGAATGATGGTCCGGTTTGAAGCCCTCACTTTCTAGGTGCTTCTCCCTGGATGCAGAAATGAGTAGAATGTTTGCCACAGTTATCATGTTGTCTTTAATGACAAACTCCTGCCTGGTACTCCGCTCACTCTCATTCAGTTTCATTCTCCAAAGTTGTGGCCTTAAAGAAGGCACCTGCATGACTTACCTGTATTCACAAGGTTCCATCTTTACCATCAAACCCGGGTTTCTCAACCTCAGCACTACCTGTGCTTTGGGCTGGTGGGCGGTCCTCGGTTCTATAGGATGCTGAGCAGCGTCCCTGGCTCCCGCTCACCAGATGGCAATAGCACCTCCCTAGTCTGCAGACTTTTCTCAGTCTCCCCTGTGGGGGGAGGGGAGGGATCGCCTCTCATTGAGAAACACTGGCCTGGATGACCACAGGAATACTATTAAAAGTTCATGATCAAGGTCAACAATACACAGTATAAGGTGCTGGTAGAAGCCCTGCAGGTGGCGCTAGACTGGAGACAGGGTGCATTTGCGTGATATCGGAGTCCGTCTTTCTCCTGTCATTCTCTTCCTATCTACCAAATAATACCTTGATCTTGAAGCATTCTGGATCCTACCCAGCCTCTTCCACCCTAAGAAAGCCTATTCTCTCCCTCCACTCTTCATGCATCAAAAAATTTTTCTGTAAGCATTATTTAAATTTAACTTAAAGTTAGTCAACATACTGTGTAGTCTTGGCTTTAGGAGTAGAACCCAGTGATTCATCTCGAAATTTTCATGTATGGACACCTGTCACATAGTTTTATAGACTTAGTGGAGATTTTCACTATGTTAAACTGATGTAACACTTTGTCACCTTCTTCTTTGAACATATGGTTGGACAGCTACTAGGAATACAGATTTTTGTTGTGTTGAATTTAGAAACAAGATGAAAGTGTAATGAGGTTGTAATCTTATTCTAGTTCTTTCAAGTATCTTATAAACTCACATCCACTTTTTACAAACATCGTTTCTTTCGCAGTTGGACAGGCTAACATTCTGTTTCCTCATCTGGCAAATGGAGTTTAAGATATTGGCCACCTCTTTATAGGATTGGTATATGGAGTAAATGGGTTATGTGCAAGCATTTGGAGAAGTGTCTGGTGTGTGGCAGGCTCTCTACTGCTTAACCACAGAAGTTTTCCTAGATCTGTATCATATCTGTTTCTAACTTCTCAATCTTAGAGGACCATCTTTCACACTCCCTTCTCACCCACCTCTAGGTTGGAGAAGTGCAATCTGACGCCTGCTTGCTGCCAACATCTTTCCTCTGTTCTCAGAAGCAGTAAAAGCCTGTTAAACCTGAACCTTTTGGGGAATGACTTGGAGCCCAGAGGAGTCAGCACACTGTGGAAGGCCTTGAAAAAATCAACATGCAAACTACAGAAGCTTGGGTAATCCCCCCCCCCCAACCTTTATGCTGGGAGGCACCTGATGAGAGGGGGATGGATGGGCTGATGTTTTATAGCAAGCATTGTGTTCACCCTGTGTTGGGTTTCCTGCAGCAGTGCTGGCCAGAAGAACCTTTAGTAATGATGGAAACAGTCTACATCTACTGTACAATAGAATAGCCAGTAGTGGCATGTGGTCAATGGGCACTTGAAATGTGGTTAATAGAACCAAGGAGCTGATTTACTGAAATGGCCACATGTGGGTAGCGACAACCATATTGGGCAGCACAGTCCTGCAGACGTGTGGATAGCTGAGGAGTCCCCTCATTTTTCTCATTCTTGTGCCTACTCAATAATTCATTCAACAGTCACTCAATGGTATCCTTTTAAATTTTTATTTATATTTGTTCATTAACACTTTTTTAAATTAAAAAAATTCCCTTCATAGTTTATTGTCAAGTTGGTTTCCATATAACACCCAGTGCTCATCCGCACAAGTGCCCTCCACTGCCACATGCCAACCACTGCCCATCCCCTCCCCCACTCCCATCATCTCTGTTTGTTCTCAGCATTCAAGAGTCTCCCATGGTTTGCCTCCCTCCCTCTTCCCACCTATTTTCCCCCTTCTTATCCCCCATGGTCCTCTGTTAAGTTTCTCCTGTTCCACTTATAAGTGAAAACATACGGTAGCTGTCCTTCTCTGCCTGACTTATTTCACTTAACATAACACCCTCGAGTTCCATCCACGTTGCTACACATGGCCAGATTTCATTTTTTCTCATTGCCATGGAGTATTCCATGGTATAGATAAACCACATCTTCTTGATCCATTCGTCTGTTGATGGACAGGCTCTTTCCATGTTTTGGCTATTGTTGAGAGTGCTGCTATGAACATTGGAGTACAGGTGCGCTTATGCATCAGCACTCCTGTATCCCTTGGGTAAATTCCTAGCGATGCTATTGCTGGGTCATAGGGGAGTTCTATTGTTACTTTTTTGAGGAGCCTCCACACTGTTTTCCAGAGGGGCTGCACCAGTTTATATTCCCACAGTGTAGGAGGGTACCCATTTCTCCACATCCTTGCCAGCATCTAGTCTCCTGATTTGTTCATTTTAGCCACTCTGACCGGCATGAGGTGGTATTTCCGTGTGGTTTTGACTTGTATTTTCCTGACGATGAGTGACTCTGAACATCGTTTCATGTGTCTGTTGGCCATTTGGATGTCCTCTTTGGAGAAGTGTCTGTTCATGTCTTCTGCCTATTTCTTCACTGGATTATTTGTTTTTTGGGGGGTGGAGTTTGGTGAGTTCCTTATAGATTTTGGATATTAACCCTTTGTCTGATATGTCATTTGCAACTATCTTTTCCCATTCCATTTGTTGCCTTTTAGTTTTGTGGATTGTTTCCTTTGCTGTGCAGAAGCTTTTAATCTTGATGAGGTCCCAATCGTTTATTTTTGCTCTTGATTCCCTTGCCTTTGGGGATGTGTCAAGTAAGAAGTTGCTGCGGTGGAGGTCAAGGAGGTTGTTTCCTGCTTTCTCCTCTAGGGTTTTGATGGTTTCCTGTCTCACATTCAGGTCCTTCATCCATTTTGAGTTTATTTTTGTGTATGGTGTGAGAAAGTGATCTAGTTTCATTCTTCTGCACGTTGCTGTCTAGTTCTCCCAGCACCATCTGTTAAAGAGGCTGTCTTTTTTCCATTGGATACTCTTTTCCCGCTTTGTTAAAGATTAGTTGGCCATACATTTGTGGGTCCAATTCTTGGTTCTCTTTTATATTTCATTGGTCTATGTGTCTGTTTTTGTGCCAATACCATACTGTCATGATGATTACACCTTTATAGTAGAAGCTAAACTCTGGGATGGTGATGCCTCCCATTTTGGTTTTCTTCTTCAATATTACTTTGGCTATTTGAGGTCTTCTGTGGTTCCATACAACTTTTAGGATCATTCTAGCTTTGAGAAGAATGCTGGTGCAATTTTGATTGGGATTGCACTGTGTAGATTGCTTTGGGTAGTAGTGACTTTTTAACTATATTTATTCTTCCTATCCATGAGCATGGAATGTTTTTCCATTTCTTTGTGTCTTCTTCAATTTCCTTCATAAGCTTTCTATAGTTTTCATTGTACAGATCTCTTGTATCCTTGGTTAGGTTTATTCCTAGATACTTTATGGTTTTTTGTGCAATTGTGAATAGGATCAGTTTCTTGATTTCTCTTTCTGTTGCTTCATTCTTGGTGTATAAAAATGCAACCGATTTCTGTACGTTGATTTTGTACCCTGCAACTTTGCTGAATTCATGGATCAGTTGTAGTAGGCTTCTGGTGGAGTCTGTCGGGTTTTCTATGTAGAGTATCATGTTGTCTGTGAAAAGTGAGAGTTTGACTTGTTCTTTGCCATTTCTGATGCCTTTGATTTCCTTTTGTTGTCTGATGGCTGATGCTTGTACTTCCAGCACTATGTTAAACAACAGTGGTGAGAGTGGACATCCCTGTCGTGTTCCTGATCTCAGGGGGAAAGCTCTCCGTTTTTCCCCGTTGAGGAGGATGGTAGCTGAAGGCTTCTCATAGATGGCTTTTAAGATGTTTAAGTTCCTTCTATCCTGACTTTCTCGAGGGTCTTTATTAAGAAGGAATACTGTATTTTCTCAAATGCTTCTTCTGCATCTATCGACAGGATCGTGGGGTTTTTATCTTTTCTTTTGTTAATGTGATGGATCACATTGATTGATTTGCGAATGTTGGACCAGCCCTGTAACCCGGGAATGAATCCCACTTGATCTTGGTGGATAATTTTTTTTATGTGCTGTTGGATTCGATTTGCAAGGATCTTGTTGAGGATTTTTGCATCCGTATTCATTAAGGATATTGGCCTGTAGTTCTCTATTTTTGCTGGGTCTCTGGCTTGGGAATCAAAGTGATGATGGCTTCATACATGAGTCTGGAAGTTTTCCTTCAATTTTTATTTTTTGGAATAGCTTGAGAAGAATGAGTATTCTGTTTTAAATGTCTGGTAGAATTCCCCACGGAAGCCATCTGGCCCAGGGTTCTTATGTGTTGGGAGATTTTTGATAACTGATTCGATTTCTTCACTAGTTATGGGTCTGTTCAGATTTTCTATCTCTTCCTGTGTGAATTTTGGTAGTATGTGTGTGTTGAGAAATTTCCATTTTTTCTAAGTTGTCCAGTTTGTTGGCATATAACTTTTCATAGTATTCCCTGATAATTGCTTGTATTTCTGAGGGATTGGTTGTAATAAGTCCATTTTCATTCATGATTTTGTCTATTTGGGTGCTTTATTTTCTTTTTGAGAAGCCTGGCTAGCAGTTTGTCAATTTTGTTTATATTTCCAAAAAACCAACTCTTGGTTTCATCTGTTCAACTGTTGTTGTTGTTGTTTTGATTCAATATTATTTATTTCTGCCCTGATTTTTATTATTTCTCTTTTTTTTGCTGGGTTTGGGGTACTCTTGTTGCCCTCTGTCTAGTTCCTTTAGGTGCACTGTTAGATTTTGCACTTGTGTTTTTTCTAATTTCTTGAAATAGGCCTGGAGTGCAATGTACTTTCCTCTTAGGACTGCCTTTGCTGCATCCCAAAGAGTTTGGATAGTTGTAGTTTCATTTTCATTAGTTTCCACATATTTTTTAAATTTCTTCTCTAATTGCCTGATTGGCCCATTCGTTCTTTAGTAGGGTGTTCTTTAACCTCCATGTTTTTGGAGGTTTTACGGACTTTTCCCTGTGGTTAATTTCAAGCTTCATAGCATTGTGACCTGTAAGTGTGCATGGTCTGATCTCGATTCTTTTATATTTATTGAGGGCTGCTTTATGACCTAGTATGTGATCTATCTTGGAGAATGTACCACGCGCACTTGAGAAGAAAGTGAATTCCATACCCTCATGATGTAGAGTTCTAAATATATCTGTCAAATCTATTGGTCCAAGGTGTCGTTCAAGTCCATTGTTTCTTTAATAATTTTCTGTCTAGTTGATCTATCCATTGCTGTAAGTGGAGTATTAAATCCCCTGCTATTAGTACATTCTCATCCATAAGAGTGTTTCTGTTTGTTTTATGTATTTAGGTGCTTCCGAATTCGGTTTGTAGACATTTATAATTGTTATCTCTTCCTGATGGATAGACCCTGTAATTATTATATAATCCTTCTTCATCCCTTGTTACTGTCTTTACTTTAAAGTCCACTTTGTCTGATATAAGTATAACTACTCCAGCTTTCTTTTGACTTCCAGTAGCATCATAGATATTTCTCCATCTCCTTACTTTCAATCTGAAGTTGTCCTCAGGTCTAAAATGAGTCTCTTGTAGACAGCAAATAGATGGATTTTGTTTTTCTATCCATTCTGCTACCCTACGTCTTTTGATTGGAGCATTTGGTTCATGTACATTCAGTGTTGTTATTGGAAAAATACGGGTTTAGAGTCATTGTGTTCTCTGTAGGACTCATGCTTGTGGTGGTGTCTCTGGTACCTTGTGTTCCTTGCAACCTTTTCCTCATCGAGTCCCCCTCAGGATTTCTTGTAGGGCTGGTTTAGTGATGATGAATTCTTTCATTTTTTGTTTATTTGGGAAGTCCTTTATCTCTCCTAATCTGAATGACAGGCTTACTGGATAGAGGATTCTTTGCTGCATATTTTTTTCTGTTCATCACATTGAAGGTCTCCTGCCATTCCTTTCTGGCCTGCCAGGTTTCAGTGGATAGATCTGTCACCACTCTGATAGGTTTCCCTTTGTATGTTTTATCCCTAGCTGCTTTCAAAATTCTCTTTGTCCTTATATTTTGCCAGTTTCACTATGATCTGTCGTGCAGAAGATCAATTCAAGTTACACCTGAGGGGAGTTCTCTGTGCCTCTTGGATTTCAATGTCTGTTTCCTTCCCCAGATTGGGGAAGCTCTCAGCTTTAATTTGCTCAAGTACCCCTTCAGCTCCTTTTTCACTCTCTTCTTCTTCTTCTGGAATTCCTAAAATAGGAATATTGTTCCATTTGATTGCATCAGTCTGTTCTGGAATTTTTCTTTCGTACTCCTAGATCAATTTGTCTCTTTTTCTTGGCTTCCTCTTTTTCTATAATTGTGTCTTCTAATTCACCTATTCTCCTCTCTGCCTTTTCAATCCATGCATTGGCTGCCTCCATTTTATTCACCTCATTTACAGTATTTTTTAATTCATCACAACTATTTTTAAGGTCCATAATCTCAGTACCAATAGCTTCTCTGGTGTCTTCCATGCCTTTTTCAAGCCCAGCGGTTAATTTTATGACTGTTGTTCTAAATTCTTGGTCATTTATGTTGCTTATATCTGTTTTGAGCAATTCTTTAGCTGTCATTCCTTCCTGGAATTTCTTTAGAGGAGAGTTCCTCCATTTCATCATTTTGGCTAGTTTTCTGTGTCTTGTAAGTTTTAAAAACTTGTTATACGTTCTGCACCTGTGAATTCTGCTATATTAAAGGAGGCTCATTGGGGCGCCTGGGTGGCTTAGTCGGTTAAGCGTCCAACTTTCGCTTAGGTCATGATCTCGCGGTTCGTGGGTTCGGGCCCCGCGTCCGGCTCTGTGCTGACTGCCGGCTCAGAGCCTGGAGCCTGTTTCAGTCTGTGACTCCTTCTCTCTCTCTGGCCCTCCCCTGCTCACGCTGTCTCTCTCTCTCTCTCTCCTAGAAATAAATAAAACATTTAAAAAAAAAAAAAAAAGGGAGGCTCATTGACTGACCATGGCCTGTCTGTTCAGGAAGGGTTCTTTTAATGGTGTCCCTTGGTCTCTCTTGTTGAGACTTTGGTTATTTTATTTCCCTACTCGTAGTGATATTTGGGACTTTCCACCATGTGTACTTTTTTTTTCTTTTTTAAATGTTTTTTATTTCTTTTTTTTTTATGTTTTATTTATTTCTAGGAGAGAGAGAGAGAGAGAGACAGTGTAAGCAGGGGAGGGCCAGAGAGAGAGGGAGTCACAGACTGAAACAGGCTCCAGGCTCTGAGCCAGCAGTCAGCACAGAGCCCGACGTTGGGCTCGAACCCACTAACTGCGAGATCATGACCTGAGCCAAAGTCGGACGCTCAACCGACTGAGCCACCCAGGTGCCCCCCACCATGTGTACTTTGGCTTGCTTCCTGAGGTGGTCCTGAAGAGGAAAACCGACAAACACACAGGGAACAAAAGCACACAAACACACAGACAAATCCAAGAAACAAGCAAACCCCAAGTGGGGGAAAACCCACAAAGGACATGAAAAGCATAAAACCAGAATTCCCAGCTACAAATAAAGAGCAGGGTGTATGGAGTGCTGATGGAAGAGCATATACAAAGACAGAAATTACAAGGGTGAGGAGAAAGCAAAATTGAACACTGGCCGGGCAGAGAGACTAAAAGGCTTAATTCAGAGAGAGACAGAGGAAAAGATGGTAGGAGGCAAGGAGAAAGAAATGAAGATAATGTTACCCAAAGAAACTATATAGTCTGATTATTCCAGAGAGAAAGGAAGGTAAGGATGGAGGTGTAGAGTATGCCTCAAGAGAATGGATTAAATGTGACTGTTTAAGCAAACCAATGACCAGCGTGCCCAGTCCAGCAGAGGGGAGAGATAAGAATGAGATAAGGGAAAAATATACCTGAATAGCAAGAATTGATCTAGAGTTAATTACCACAATGCATCAATGTTGGTCTTGCTCCAGGCTCCAGTAAAAAAAAAAAAAAAAAAAAAAAATTGGGGCGAGGCAGGAAGGCAACTCTCCAGCGTGGATGGGCGTGGTTTTAGGCAGGCCTCATCACTGCGGGTCTGCAAGCTGCTCCCTGAGGTCCCACCTTGGTGGTTGTGGGGAGAAAAATGGAGGTGCCACAGTCTCTTCTCAGACCAAGTGTTGCAAATCACTCGTTTGGCTCTGATCTCCCTGTGCCAGGGGTGTAGCCAAGGTGGGCTGTGTTCTATGCCCCAAGCCTTACCTTGTTTCCAGATCTTCGTCCGGGCGCTTTATTGATACCGCCTAAAATGTAACCCCGCAGTCTGGGCCACTTCCCAGCCAGGAATTGAGTAGGAGTAGGGGAGGAGTTTGTCCTGGCGCTGCCTGGGACCGGGGCACCCAGCTCAAAGAAAGCACCACAGCTAGAATTAGGATCACTCTCCGAAACGCCCTGCGGTTAGAGATGGGATGACAGGGTCCCTCTCCATCTTGGCTGAGCTTTTTTTCTCCAGTGCAGTTCTATGAGCAGTTTCAGCTGCTCTTTATCTTCCCTTGTTTCTCCATGGCTCTCTGAGCAGGGAGCTCCCTCCCCTCTGTGCCTCCAGGTCCCAGCCCGTGTTTATCTTCCCCAGTTTGCAATGATGCACCTGTGAGGCTGTCTTAGTGGACTTTGTCTCTTTTTCTCCCAGATTTTTGTGGTTCAGTGTCGAACCGCTTCAGGCGTTCTTTGAGAGATGCAGGCGAGTAAAATGTACGGAGCTCCCTATTTCTTTGCCATCTTGCCTCCAGCTCTCCAACAATATCTTTTTTTTAATGCTGACTGTAGGCCCAGCGTGCCATGGCAGATAGCAGGGAACAAATGATCATCTGCATTCTTCTCAGGGAGATGACAAATCTGAGGTGTATAAAAGCAGTATTGTCATGAATGCTGTGAAGGAAACTTGGGATTGTGATAGGAAAACAAGGGTGATCAGAGTGGTATCAGAAGGTATATCAGAGGTGGTGATGTTGATCTTGAATTCCAAGGAGGCTGGAAGGAGGAATCCACATATAAGGAGGGGAACATGGACAGTGACAAGAGATCGAGTGTTCGATGAAAGTTGGAGTAGCATGTGCAAAGGCCGAGGCTAGACCACGCTCTGTATTGCTCCTTCCAGGCAGTGAAATAAGTGTTTAATTAGAACACTCTCCACATTATTCAGTATTCTGGAGATGAGGTCAGGAAGGTAAGCAGGGTTTTCTTTTGTCCCCGGAGAAAGACCTTAAACTTGGTACATTTTAGCAGAAATCTTCCCAGATACCAAGGAATCTTGCCTGCTTTGGGAAGTTGTTGAAAAATCTACATTCAGGACTTTGTATTACCAACTTCACATCTAAGTAAACATTATTAAAAGCATTCTATGGGGTGCCTGGGTGGCTCAGTTGGTTAAGCATCTGACTTTGGCTCAGGTCATGATCTCGTGGTTGGTGGGTTCGAGGCCTGCGTCGGGCTCTGTGCTGACAGCTAGCTCAGAGCCTGGAGCCTGTTTCGGATTCTTTGTCTCCTTCTCTCTCTGAACCTCCCCTGCTCATGCTGTCTCTCTCTCTTAGAAATAAATAAAACATTTTTAAAAAGGCATTTTATGCTGAGAACAAACTAAGGGCTGACTGGGGTGGGGGATGGGGGATGGGGGGTGATGGGCATGGAGGAGGGCACTTGTGGGGATGAGCACTGGGTGTTATATGGAAACCAACTTGACAATAAACTAAGGAGAAAAAAATAAAAGCATTCTATCTCATTTTTTCAGGCTTAAAAAAGAGTTGTACAACATAGTGAAGGAAGAGCTTGAGGAATTGCATGAAAGGGGGTCCTTTCTGAGAGTCAAGTTTAAGTGGGATTTCAATGACCTTGAGGACAAATGGTGGTGGTAATACAATGGCGAGATGCTGTGGCTACACCATGGGATTTTCTTCGAGTAGAATCATCAGGAGATTTCTCAGGTATCCCTCCTCTTGAGGACAAATGAATAGTTACCTCCAAAGTGCTTTCCCAAAGTTTGGCCATTTAATATGCTGCCTACAACAATCTCCAGAATCCTAATCTAATACTATGTTTGATCCCCAAGATCCTACATTGGCTTTGCCTTAAGTTTCCTTTTGTCCTCCTTGGTGGAATATCTAACTCCCACGTGTTAAGAGGATTCAATAAAGAAAAGAGTATTAAAAATGCCTTGAGAAAGCCTAAAGCCTCATTTCCTATGGATCAAGAGATGGGATAGATGTGACTATGATTCCACAGTTATTATACTGTGGATAAAACAGCCAGATGGAGATCCAAAACCACTCCTAAAATGCAAATAGACACAATTTTGGCGTTTGTGTCTACTTTTGAATGATCCCTGGCTGTGTTATATCTAAAATGTATTTTACTCACCTGAGGTTACTGGGAAACATGGATCCTACACAGGGATGTAATGTGAAGTTGATGTAATGCATGGGAATGCATATGAGAATAGGATCTTACAATTTTATCTCCTTCACTCTATTAATAAGCAAAAGTTATCAGAAGTAGTCTTTGGGAACAGTTGGACATTCATTGGATGTTGCATTTTGTAGCTTATGAAACTTCCCATAGTGTGTCTCCTCATCAGTGCCCTGTAAGTAGGGACATCCCTACTTGACTGATTTTGAAAACAAAAATACTGAGGGTAAATGTTGGACAACAAATTACAGAAATAGTAAGGCAAATAATGGAACTTAGAATCTGAGTCTTCTGTTTTAAGAGCCAACATGCCTTGTGAGACCCAGTAGGGTCTTCCAGTAAGTCGAATGCCATGATCCTTCTATCAATCATGTTTCCTCACCATTAAACATTAGTGAAGTCCAGAGTCCTTGAAATAAATCTTTCCTTCTCTTCCTTGTGCATTTTGGTCAGTCATCATAGATAAAAGCAGGGATAGTGACTGGGGGGAGGTTTATGAACTAAGATAATCTTGTAAAGGAAGAGATTTTTTTAAATCAAAGGTCTAGCTCTGCCTTAGTCTCTGTGTCATTACTTCAGTTACTGTTGGTTAAAATAGCATCATGTTATTTCTGATAATCTGACAAATTGTTAACCCCAAATCCAAGATGATCCAAAATTTTCTCCATTTCTTTAAAAACAAAACATGGGAATGTTCTTCTGTGATCGTTGGATCTACAAATTTTCTATTAATATTTTAATAATGTTTTAGGAATTTATTCTAGAATATCTGAATTTACTGTGGAATTACTTCAATTATAAAAAAGGTTCTTCACCTTTGGGTATTCTAACAATGTTTTATTTCAAAGCCACCTAATGCCAAAGCAGCTTTCTAGAAAAAATCAGTGATAGGTCCACCCCAACCCCAGAAGGGGAATGGGATGGGACTAAATGGATTTAGATGAGCTGTGGCTGGTGAGCTGCCTCCCAGACTCACTACAGGTTACGAAGTCCACCGCCCAACAAAGAGTGATTAGCTTGTGACCAATTGCACTCCAACTTCAAGTTCACGATTATGTGGAAGACCACCTACCCACTCCCTCTCCTTTTTCACACCTGATACTTTGCCATCTTAAAAGGGTGGGTAGTTGTGGTCAGGACTAGGTGCAGCCATGGGGAGGGTAAGGCAGGGGTAGTGTAGAGTTGAGGTTAGAAGCAGAGAGCATCCCCTTCATGATGTGCTAGAGGGGACGTGGTTGAGTAAAGGATCCCCTAAGTTGAATCTGGTGAGACAAACCGTTTCTGTGGAATGGAAACATTCACAGTGGCTTTTGGTAATGACCCCACTGCTTCTCAGGTAGTGATTTTTATACTCTTTAAGATGATTTGTTCATTACAACTTGGGTCTGACAGCATCAATCTCGGGTCTTGGAAAAATTACACAGAATGATATGTAAAATGGCCATTGTGTGGTAAGCACCTGTAAATGTCGTTCTGAGGTTAATAATCTAGACTTCAGCCTTTCCTCTCAACATCCTCTCTTGTGAACTAGATGCTCCTTGGCTTAGTTCTTTATCCCTTTTATCACAGCTGCAGAAGCCCTGGCAGGTTTTCTTCCCTCTTCTCCACAGATGAGAGATGAAGTGACTTTCTCAGTCTCTTTCTCTTGTGATTTTTACTGTGTGGTAAGATGGACATAACAAAAACTCACTGCTTAGCCATTTTAAAGTGCAGTTCATTGGGATTAAGTAGCTTCACACTGTTGTGTACCCATCCCCATCAACCATCCATGGAACTTTATCTTCCCAAACTGAAACTCTGTCCCCACTACACTAATTCCCCATTTCTCCCTCCCCCAGCCCCTGGCAACTATTCTACTTTCTGTCTCTATGAATTTGACCACCCTGGGGACCTTGAAAAATTGAGATCATACAGTATTTGTCTTCCTGTGGGCTGAGTTACCTCACTTAGCATAATCCCCCCAAGGTTCATCCATGTTGCAGTTGCTGTCAGAATTTGCTTGCTTTTTAGGAACCCTATTTCATCATGTGGAGGGACCACATTGAGTTCATTCCTAGAGCAATGGACACTTGAGTTGCTGACTTGAAGAAACCCAACTCCTAAGTTGATGGCATGGGGGCCCAAAAGTGAAATGCTTCTATCCTTAAGCTTTCCTTCCAGCTCCCACCCCCTCTCCTCATTTGGGGGTATTTGGGGGTCTTCTGTTGGAGGAGGGAAAGAAGAGCGTATTTAAGGCCATAAGGTGCAGCAGGAAGAGGACCGGAGTAGAGTCTGGGGGAGGATGGGAGATGCAGGGAAGTCAGAAGAGCAATGGCAGAGAGATGACCCAAAACTCAGAAGGAGGCAAAAGAGAATTACCTTTGTATTCTTTTGGGGACAGTGCTCATTTGCAGCTTTGGATGATGGAGTAATTTTACAAGTCTGTAGAGGCTGACTTGTGGTTTCTTCTCGGGTATTTCTATATTCTTCTTTAATGTTATGCTTCTACTTGGTCAATTTATTCCACTAAACAATCATGACTCAAGGGACCGAACCATACAGCATTCTCTTAATCTGTTCAAATTTAGTTTCAGATGTGAACTCTTTTCCTGCACCTGGTTAAAAACTTGTCCTGGGCCATTTTTCTTTTTTAATCATTTCATAGTCTCAGTATGCATTTAACAATGTCGTCCGGTGCCACACAACTCAATTTAAACTTTAGGTTCTCCTGAACTGTGAGATGGAAGACCTGTGTCCTGAGATGTGTTCAGAAAGACAGAAGGCAAGGGAGCAGGGAACATAGTCACTTGATGGACACACTGACAGATTAAGCGTCTGACCTTCCAATTTGGATGTTTAAAACCAGCATTCGTGGGATCAGCAGAGCCTTCTCATCAAGGGAGAAACACCCATTGGAGGCTTTACTGGTGAAGAGAGATAACATGGTTAGCTCAGCTGGTGGCTTATTACTTCTTGACCCCCTACACACCCAGTGAGACCAGTAGCTTATCTTGCTTACATTTGTCATAGTGATTTTACACATTATACTGTGTAAAATGTCTTACTGTGCTGGGGTTGAGCTAATTTCTTCATGCCCAGCCAACCCAGCTCCCTCTTGTTATAATTGTCATCCTTCTATTGGTTTTTTTTTTTTTTTCAATTTTTTAAATTTATTTCTAGGAGAGAGAGAGATAGCGTGAGCAGGGGAGGGTCAGAGAGAGAGGGAGTCACAGACTGAAACAGGCTCCAGGCTCTGAGCTGGCAGTCAGCACAGAGCCCGACGCGGGGCTCAAACCCACGAACCGTGAGATCATGACCTAAGTGAAAGTCGGACGCTTAACCGACTAAGCCACCCAGGTGCCCCTTCTATTGGTTGTTTTAAAACCATATGCACTACATGTACACGGTGGCTGCTTTAAATACCCCTGTATGAAAAGAGATTTATAAGGTCATAGGTTATAGTGATACATAAAATGTCAAATATTAGGGTTTTAGATGGCTTCTATCAATAGATCATTCAAATGAAGTGCATATATACGACTATTATATCAGGTTAAAGAAATCAGGTTTAGATATATAGAGCTCTATGTAGATGTATATGGCTTACAAACCTGTATCTCAACCTTTTGGTATGTGTGCACATATGTATACATGTATATACCTTTAACCTGATACACAGAAGGCATTGTATATATGCATGTCATTGTGTGTTTATACTGTGTTAATCTGTGTTGAACTACACACATTTCTCTGTATATGTATATATCACGAGTGTTTTCAGTCTATCTACATTGTTTACATATACCAATATGGATAGACAAACAATGGAAAACCAATGCATTTAGATGATACCTTTATGTAATTAAAAATCAATGCTATATTGTTGATATCCATCAACAGAAGTATAGGAATGGTATGGGAATTAGTCTCCTGGTACAAGAGTACTTGTGAAGAAGAGAATGAGATGGAGTTGGTGTTCAAAAGGATGTTCACCTTTATCTGTACATGTAGGTGGAGGACAATGGATGACTCCTACTTTTCTGATTTTTAAAATAGTACTTTTCTGGGTGCCTGGATGGCTCAATTGGCTAAGTGTCAAACTCTTGATTTCGGTTCAGGTCATGATCTCACAGTTCTGTGATCTCACAGAGCTCCACGTCAGGCTCTGTGCTGACAGGGCAGAGCCTGTTTGAGATTCTCTCCCTCCCTCTCTTTCTTCCCCTCCCCTGCTTACTCATGCGTGCTCTCTCTGAAACATTTAATAAACTAGTAATTCTCAAATCCCATCATGAGGCAAGAGAAAAAGCCTGACTTGGACACCAGCAGCACCAGCAGAAAAGACCGTGACCACATTAGACCTCAGGTCCAGTGCTCTCATTATGGGCAGTTTCTGTCCATGCCACATCGGGATAGGACCACAATTTCTACAACCCATTTCTCTTGGCATTCACTGAGAACACAATCTGTTTGG